TTTCTAAACAAATACCTATCGTGTTTTCTTTTTGAGAGAATATAGCAAAGCACCCTTTTTTCCTCCGTTCAATAGCATGAACCATCAGCTGTGGCCTAGTCCATCTCACAGGCCTGGCCAATGGGAGGAAAGGTGACAACTGTAGATCTGAAGAGTCAATATCATTGTCATACTCGGATTTTTACACCACATTTACAATTTGGCCATGTTAATGTGATGCAGCAAACCCAGTACAGAGCCAATTAATCCAAACCATTATTATTGTGTCGGGTTCACAGAGATCTAACTAGTGTGGTTATCTGATGGACGTCCTACTGGTGTGAAAGTCGCTGCATCAGATGCAAGGATTATTATTATAACTAAATGAACCAGGAGCTAACACTACACATTCAATCCCAACACAAATAAATACCACCATTTATATTCACTGCTTGACAAGTCTAACTCTTCAGGTTGACCAAAAATATATCGGTTGACGTGCACCAGCTAGATTACACTGGACAAGTTACCTGAACTCTTCAGTTTCCCAAAAAACTCAGGCCAGCCCACAAATTCGTTTGCATGATTACATTTGACACATGCATTGTGCTACTCTTGAGTTTCAAAGCAAGGCAGTGCCCTAATATTGTGCTTGCTACCAAAATGCAAGCAGCATGCCTCAGTGCGGTGTGCTGGTGCTATTAGTGCTGCTATGAATGACAGAGAAGATTCTGTATCACTGCTACTTACATAAAAATTACGAAACAAATATCAATCCAAGTTTCATCAATATCGCCACAATCTGTAGATATGCGTGTAACCAGATAAGTGGAACATAGAGCTTCCTACATATAAAGTGTAGGCTGTTTGTCAAAACAAATGCACTGCTATATGTATATCACTTTGGGGGGGGGGGGGGGGGAAGACTGGAATTACACAAAGTTTGCACAACAGTAGCCACTTACAATTTCATACAGTTAAGAGATTGCCAAACATGTAGGTGTTGTTTGCATGTTACTATGTATGTTACTGTAACTGAAACATGTTTTTACATCAAGAGGTGAGAACAAGTGACATTTATATTGGTAGAACTCTGTAGGACAGAATTATTTAGAATCTACTTTTTGTCCACCCCGACAGAAATTGCCTGATGTAGCATTATTGGACAGAACTGTGCAACTATTACTGTTGCGAATGTTTACTGGTTTCAGTTGCTCCAGCTTTTTGCACCTCAATGGCGATGTTTAACATTGAACGGTAAAACAGCAATGCCATCAGCATTGTGAGTTGCGAAAAATACCTCTTCTAGCAAGATTATTGCTGCACTTACATGAGGAGCGTTGTTACAGGAAACTCCCAATAGAAATAGTTTATTGTGAGTCAATGCAATTTTGGCTCGCCTGCTGAATGATGCTCAGGCAAGTATCTTACGTAAGCAGACTGAAACAATAATTCCACTATATACAGAACACTTATCTGTTCTACAAGAACATGTCGTCAATGCAATGAAAACATCAAGCTTAAGAAACTGTTTAATATATAGAATCCTTGCATTTGATATGGTGCCTTATTGCACCATTGAGCTGTTTCAAAGCGCTACACAGGATACACTGTATGGGGCTAATGGCTGTATATTTTGTAATCGAACGTGGCAGACACTTTTGCGCACAGCAACATCTCACAAACAGCCATGAAGTGAGTGACCAATTTGATTTGGAAGGATTGTTGGCCAATATTTCCAACAATTATTCCCAAAATCAAAAGACAAGTCTGAACTATTTCTGGAACTATTTGACCAAATAAAATTGGTCATTCACTCCATGAATGTTTGTGGGACATTGCTGTGCTACCGCATTTTTCCTCACAAAATACAGTCACTGCACGCTACAATATATCCTGTGAAGTGCTTTGAGACTCAACGACGTGTTATGGTACATCAAATGCAAGGATTATTATTATTTGATCTCATCCTTCCACAATACAAACCTCTACTGTCTTCCTGTTACAAAAACAATTTCTTAAATGAATCCATTGTCTTGGCCTCAACCAATTTTATGGGTAAAACTACCCTCTACCCATTTCATATTGCGCCTCGACAGCAGTGCTCCAAATTCAGCTGAGAGAGCATTGTGCACCAGTTGAGGGGATTCAAATTCAACCAATTTGACACTTCAAACCAGTATCCTGTTCACATCGCCACCTATCACCTCACGCTGTCTAAAAATGGCCAACAGTGAGTTGACTAATATTAACAACTCTATTTCAATTTTCCCCATAGGAAATTCTACCCTATCCATTCAGCCTCTTAGTTTTACTACAGTATGACGTTCATATTGAACTTAATTCAGCTTAGGTACATGTTCTGTCAGTCTTTTTTAAAGATGCAATTCAAACATTATTAAGGCACTGCAAATAACAGGGAATTGGAATTAGAATAGCTAGCTCTAATCACGATAATCCTTACATTTGATATTGCGTCTTTCACGCTGAACGGATGCCTCAAAACGCTTTATAGGATATATTTCAAAGTGCAGTCATTTTAACAGTCATTTTAATGACTGTATTCTGCAAACAAATGTGACAGCCAATCTGCACACAGTCTCACAAACATGCATGAAGCAATTTTATTTGAGGGATTGTTGGACAGAAAATCATGAAAAACTCCCCTTCACTTTTCAAATAGTGCTGTTGAATCTTTAACATCCACCTGAACAGGCAGAGGGCATCTCAGTTTATCTCTTCTGTCCAACAATACAGCACAACCCCGCACTGCACTGGATTATTAGCGTAGACTAAGTTCAAAGTCGTTTATATTGAACTAACAACCTTCTTACTCAAAGGTGAGAGTGCTACCAACTGATGAAGGCTGATAGACAAAGAAAGAGCATGAGTTTGCTGAGCGAGCACCACCTTAGGCTCCATTGACCACATGTCCTCTTCCTATACTGTCATTCCTAAGAAAGGTTAGTCAACAAAGTCCAAAATCATTATCAAGCTTGTTTTAGATGGCACTACAAATACGGCAAATTAACAGCAAGTACATAGTGAGTACATAGTTGGAGCAGCATTGAACAAGAGGCAGACATTAGAGTGTCATCATCAACATCTATTCTTTGTGGTATAACACTATGCTATGCAACTAAAACTGTCTCCCTCCCTGCATATCCTGCAGAAAGCACAAAAATAGTAACATTGCTATTTCAAATAAGTTTTGTATCTCATAGGTACAAAAAGCTAACCATAATGCTTAATTCAACAGGACTTCAATATGCATATACCAATATTCATTACCTGACTCACTTTCAGTTTCCGCTGCCATGAATGTTTCTGTATCTGATTGCTCAGGGCCCTATGACAGAATATGTCTAAAGCCTTGAAAAATTCAGACTGCGGCACTCTTTCACACTTATCCCCGACAAATGTTACCACATTAAGGACCATTGCAAAGAATAATGCCCCGGGGTCAGTCTTGCAAACCCGTATGCATGGTCAGTACAGATTGTGAACACGACAGGGCTTTATGCTTTCCTTTTCTAAAGAAAAAGTGAGGAGTAAGAATTTCAAATTATTGCTTTCACCTCGTCCACAAACCCTAAGCGGCGTCAAACATCAAACAGGATTGGAAAAGGGGAGGGGGTCGAACTCATTGTTATCCACACTTTTACAAAATAAAAGTACAAACTATCGCCTCACTTTTTTTTCTATATAAAAAAAAGAAGGTTCGGTTGTTATCGATTTAAAATCTAGTCCAGTTTGGTACAGGAAAGAGCAGCAGAGCCCGTGAGAGAGAGAGAGAGAGAGAGAGAACTGCACACGATCACCAATGTTGTTGGTTTTAACCCTCGACTGGTGAGACGCGTTTTAAAAATTCCACGTTTGCTCAGTGCAGAGCCAATAATGGGCTGACAAACCGGATTGCATTGGGGAGGGGGGGGACAGAAAGGACAGCAGAGGAAAGGGAAGGAAAGGCAGACACAACTTCTGAAAACTAAAGCTTTTTTCTCTTTTTTTTAAAAAAAAGAAAAACACACACACACACAGACAAGCCGATGGGACTTATTCTTTGTTAGATGTGTGGGAGTGTGTGTGTGGGGGGTGTGTGTGTGTGGGAGGTGTGTGTGTGTGGGGGTGTGTGTGTGGGGGGTGTGTGTGTGGGGGTGTGTGTGTGGGGGGTGTGTGGGCTTGTGTGGGGGGGGGTGTGTGGAAGAGAGGGTGGGAGGTGATTGATTGAATGAGGCTCTCGGTATTTCCACGAGCTTCTGTGTGTGTGTGTGTCTCCCTCTCTCTGTCTGTCTCCTTTACACTTATCCCGGGGTTTGGTGGTGGGGGGGGGGTGGGGGTTGGTGGGTGGGGGGTTGGTGGTGGGGGGGGGGGTGGGGGTTGGGGGTTGGTGGTGACTGACTCGAATGGCCCGAGCCCACCCGGGACTGTACACATAACGTGACTGACTGTACGTCTCGTCTCTTGGGGCTGCGAAGCAATTTACTTAAGTGGCCACTGACAGCCCTGACAAACCCCCCCCTCCCCCCTCCCCTTCCCCCCTCCTCCCCCCCCCCCCCCCAACAACGTGGGACTGACTCCCTCTCCCACACACTCTCTCCCTCTCTCTGTGTCTGTGTCACACACACACAGCCCCGGGGCTTCGGCTTTCGAACGCCTCACGACGACGATGAATCCCGCGGATCCCGGGATAAGGCGGGAATTCCTCCTTATTTTTTTCTCTCTCTCCCTCTCTCTCTCTCTCTCTCCCTCCCTCCCTCCTTCTCCCTCACTCTCTCTTTCTCCCCCTCACGCTTCCCGCTCCCACTCTCTCTCTCTCTCACTCACTCACTCACTCACTCAAGACTTCCCCCTCCTCTCCCCCGCACTCCCCGCACTCCGCGGCCTGCGTTTCCTTTGCCGAGAGAAGAGCCCGAGACCCGACCGAAGCCCTCGCGGAGGGGTGGTGGGGGGTGGTGGGTGGGGGGGGGCGCACTCCCTGACCCTCCCACCCTCACACACTCACTCAGTCACACACACACCTGGTACAGGGTCGGCCAGTTGCCGTATTTGTCGATCTCCGCGAACTGGTACTCCATGGCGGCGGCGGCGGCGGCGGCGTCGCTGTCGTTGCTGCTGCTGCTGCCGCTGAGTCGTTTTCCCCCCTTCACCCCCCTCCCGCGGGCCTCGGTAGCGCTGCTGAATCCCCTCTCCTCCCTCTCTCTTCCTCCTCCTCCTCCTCCTCTCTCTCTCTCTCCTCTCCTCTCCTCTCTTCTCTCTCTCTCTCTCTCTACCGCTTCATCTCAAACTCCGCGCATCAACCGCTCGCTCGCTTTCAGGCGACAGACCGGAAGCGACTCTCCTCCAACCCTCCCGCCTCCTCTCCTCCTCTCGCCGCCCCCCCCCTCCCTCCCTCCCGTCCGCCCGCCCACTCTCCTCCTGATTGACAGGCCGTCCGACCAATCGCGTCACGAGACCTGGCAGCCTCCCCCCACCACCACCCCCAACTCCGCGCGGCGCATCTCGGGAGTTGGAGTCTTCGCGTCCCATAAACCACCCTCCTGCTGCCCAGCGGGGACTACGGATCCCGGCATGCGCTGCGGCAGAAGGCAAGGCCGTCGTCGTCCTACGACTACAGCGTCGGCTTTTTTTTCCCCCCCCACACACACACGCACCCGGTCCCGGAGTTGATGGGGAGGAGGAGAGTCGTGCAAAGGCTGCTGGGATTTGTAGTCCAGAGCAGGGGGTGGGGGGGGAGGCGGTTACCCGGCGTGCTCCGCGCTCTGCCGGCTGTCTGAGGCGGCGGCGGGTCCGGGCGGTTGGGCGTCGGGGTTGAGAACCCCAACGGCAGGTCTTGTTTTACTGGGATGTAACATAGAGTCATATCATATAAATACACACACATATATATTATATGTACGTACGTACGTATATATTAAAAAAATATGTAGAACACCTCATCTCGCAATCGTGATCACTTCTAACCGGGGACTCGTCAGGTGGAGGAGCAGAGCCTCACGTTGGGCCTGTGCTGTGGGGATGGGGGGGGGTATGAGGAGGGGGGGGGAGGGGGGGTTATGGGGGAGGGGGATATGGGGGAGGGGGGTTATGGGGGGAGGGGGGGTTATGGGGGAGGGGGATATGAGGAGGGAGGGGGGTTATGGGGAGGGGATATGGGGGGAGGGGGATATGGGGGGAGGGGGTTATGGGGGAGGGGATATGGGGGGAGGGGGTTATGGGGGAGGGGATATGGGGGGAGGGGGTTATGGGGGAGGGGATATGAGGAGGGAGGGGGATGGGGGGAGGGAGGGGGGGGGGTTATGGGGTGATGGGGATGGACAGGTCTGTCAGGGATTGGGTTCCTGGCACTGGATTTGGTTTCACCACCACTCGTTGGCCCCTCATGGGAAGAGCTGCAGTTTTTTTTTCGCAGAACTTCCAGTTACTAACTATCCTTTGTGCAGTTTCTGCGCTTGAATTATTCACCGAGAAGTGCCAGCGCCGAAGTCAAATGCGCTGTTGGGTTTTGTGTGTTTTTTTTGGCAGATTTGGGTTTGGCCTACAAAATATTGCAGCATATTCGCCTTCCGTGCTGGCACTTTTGCCCACAAAGTATTACAGTTAATTCACTTTACAATGCAGGATATCACGTGAAGTGCTTCGAGACATCTCAACGACATGATAAAACTTGAACAGCCCAAATAAAGATGTTCTCATTTTCAAGATAATTTGTTTTTCTCATTACTATGCTCGTTCCTCGGCTAAGAATGTGGCACTCCATAACCAACTGCTAGAAGGTGTATAAGAACAGGCTGTTTCCCTCTTGTTAGCGCAGCAAAGATTGGAAACTTGTTCTTCAACAAATATTTGCTCCTAACAGAACACGCATCTCACTGCTGCTGCAATGAAATACTCTGACGTATTGTTAATCATATTGAAATTGTTTCATGTTGCCTTTAGGTATTACTTTTCTTCTGATGACTGGACCACTGACAATATATTCACAGAGGAATGTTAACTGTATTTTTACTGCAGTATGACAGAAGACTGTTATTTTGCTTCTGTTATACAGCTTTGGGAAATTCCATTATATTGAAAATTTATGAGCTGTTTGGTATATTTCAAGAGCAACTATAGCCCATGCGTTGGAAGTTGGAAGCTTTCTAAAAGTCAGCCTTTGTAATGTTTCACACCTGCAAGCACTTGATCAAATACTGAAATCACCAGGCAGCTGTTTCTTAAGCATAATGTTTTGAGATGTACAAGTTCACTCATGAAATGTCTGCCTTGGCTGGTGGCCAACAATATTTTTAGATCTTACCATAAGTTACACTTTCAATCAGAACATGGGCTACAGTTCTGAAAGTGATACTGTATACAGAATTTTGTCATTTCAATATTAAAAATATTTGCAATCTATTTGGATGAGCTGTGTCTCTGATGCATATGGAACCCCATCCCCACGCATAAGGATAGCAAAACTTGACTGACCACACACATTCCATCTCGACATGGAAATTTCTCTTTGTTTGGCAAAGAGTGGACACACATTTCCCAGAAGTATACACTCTATTTAACTAATTCTGGAATGCATTAGGTGCAGGTTGGAAAGTGTCAAACTCTGGGGACTTAAGGTGTGTGTTGGAATACTGATGGAGTTTAATGAGCTAAAATCATTTAGTTGTGCCATCATGAGCATTGTCTGGGAAGTTTTGAGGTACTTGTCCACCTTATTTGTTACAGCTTTGACTTTTAGAGTTAACAGGAGCTGAAAGGAAGAATCCCTACCCCCCAGTAACAGCTCCACACTTTCTAAGTACTGCTGTCAAGCCAGGTTAACTGGTCTGTCATCAACAGTGACTTAACTCTTGACCCGTCTGGCTCAGGAACAAATCTGCCGCAGAGGATCAACCCTATTCCCATATTCCATTGTCAGACACATTTACCTTAAAAGACATCCAACAATTATAAGTTTGAGACCTTAATAGGCAATAATAACACCATATGAAGGTATTTGGCAGTAGTTACAGAAATAGATGGTCCATAAGGTCTGGCTACTGTTTCACTTCATTTCAAGCACCTAATCCTACTCTTACAAAACAATACAAATTTACATTTATACAGCGCCTTTCACTTCAGGAGAACATCCCAAGGTGCTGGACACTCGAAGGGTCGCACCCGAATTGAAATGGAAGCAATGGGGGGGGAAAGATGACCGAAACCACGGTCAAAGAGGAAGGTCTTGAAGCAGGACAGTTTCAATATTCATTGTTATTCAATTCCCTTTTCAAAGAATTTATGGAGTTTGCTTCAACAGCAGTTTGTGACAGATTTCAACCATGGAGAATATTTTTTTCTGTAACCTTTACAGTAACTACTATTAGCATTAATTATTTGTTTTCTAGCGCCTTAGGACATCCTCCAGACGTGAAAGGCTCTATCCAAATGTAATTTTGTTGTTATTATTTCAAAGGTAGAATAATAATTTCTAGTCTTTAACCAACCTTGGTCAATGGTGTCACACATTGATTCTGCACCATAACATAATTGAATTAATTTAGGAGTATTGATTTGTAGAGATGATTTCACAGTCCATTTATCCACAGTCAGGGTGTGAAAATCACTCAGATGGAACAGGTAGATCAATAGTATGTCTAAACAATTAACACCGCTGCTTTATCTTCCAAAAGACTTTTTTTGGTCAGCCGGGTGTCTGACATATGCGAAAACCCATCACCGTGCTTAATAGTATCCAAACCAAGCTGAAATTTCCATGCATCCCACCTACACATGGAAATCCCAGAGATAGATTGTTAGAATGCTCACTCTCTCTCTGGTGGGGTACATCTTACTGTCCTAATTCCGGAAAGTATTAGGAGCAGGTTGGCAAGAACCAAGGCTTGGGGACCCCAGAGTGTGTGTAGGGGTAACTGCTGGAGTCTAACCAGCTAAAACCAAATAGCTTGCCATTGATGTTGCTGTTCAGCGAACTTTCCCACTGCTCGTTCAGCTTGGACCACCCTAACACACCCTTTATCACAAACCTTGTTGAATGTTCCACAAGAAGGATTTACAGTAGCTACGCATACATTCTTAGCCGGATTGGTGAAGGGGACCTGCAACAGCCCAAATAAAGTGGAATTCTGAAGGTAACAACTGGGAAAATAAAATACTCTTATTTATGGAAGAGTGGAATGACATCATTTCATTCGTGAATGTTCCTTCAAATTCAATTTGTGCACATACTGCCATCTTGTGGGATTTTCATGATTCTCATTATGTTCTTAGTTTTCTTTAAAAAAAGAAAACAAAGAGCCATTCGATTAAGAACATTTAAGAAAAGCTGGAAATCGTGAAATAAAGTTAAAAAAATTATGAAAATGAACAGCAGGTCAATCAATATCTAAAAGCAAAAGATAGGTTAACGAGAGTTTTGATGAAAGATTTGAAGACAGGGAGCGAGATGGAGGGATACATACCTAGTATGTAACTTTTAATAGGAAGGTTGGGACATGCTGGATAAATACTATATCATAAAGCTTGCCAGTAGTTTGTATTGGTAAACACAAATAGCCATTATATTTCTGCACCTCAATTGCCTGGCGGAAAAGCAGCATTGGTAAAGGCCTGTAATTACAGTTCAACTGCGAGGAGATGCTGGACTTCTTCAAAACCAAAGTCGAGGGGATCCACTCAGCTGCCTCTGCCCTTCCGAATCCTATCCCCTCCCCATCTCTTGCTCATCTCTTGCCCCTACCCATCCCTCCCTCCACACCCTCAAACCTTCTCCCCCTCCTCTCTCACCACCACTATAACCCACATGAATCCAATCACCTGCTCTCTCGACCCCATCCCTACCCCTCTCCTTACCTCCCAGCTCCATCTCCTTGCCCCCTACTCACACTCATCATAAGTCTCTCCCTGTCTACTGGTACCGTTACCATCCCTTTAAAAACATCCGTCATCACACCCATCCTTAAAATACCCTCACTGGATCCATCCCTGCTCTTAAATTACCGGCCCCTCTCCAACCTCCCTTTCCTTTCCAAAGTCCTGGAACGAGTTGTTGCTTCCCAGCTTCGTTCCTTCCTCTCCCACCACTCCCTTCATGAACCCCTCCATTTGGGTTTCCACACTGCCCACAGCACAAAAACAGCGCTGGTCAAAGTGACATGATATTTTGTTCATCTGCGACCAGGGATCCCTCCTTGACCTCTCTGCTGTCTTCGATACTATTGACCACTCTATCTTCCT